TATATTGTAAAAGAAAAAGACAATTGGCAATTTCCATTTTCCTCCACAAAGGGCCACAATAGTTAAGAACACATGGGTTCATGTTCGGGTCGAGCTAAGTAGACCACCAATTTTAACCTACTTCGTTTCAGTAATTTACATGAGAATGGGGCGCATTCATTCTACAAGTTCAGTAAGAACAAAACTCACAGTGTAATTTACCATAGAAAAACAGAGATCAGTTCAGTATCAGTTACATTGAGGCTTCAAAAATTTGCGAATCTTGAACATACTGGAGAGATGATGCCTACCCAGACATAACATGCAACTACTTTGGGTATTTCGAAAATGCTACTTCTCACACTAATGTATTTGACCGTGACCCGATAAAAGCATCATCCAGAAGAATTCTCATGTAAGAGAACGTATTCACGGCTGCAAAGTCATAAAGTAGGAATGTTAATTCAAAAGAGTTCGTTTAGATACTCAAATGTGGACCGACCACTTAGCCATTGGAAGGTGACAGAGAAGTAAAAAAAACTATCGTAACCAGCAACAAGGTTTTTCTTATAAACTGGTGCTATAATCAAAATTATTATTGATCTATGGGTTCAAGATATAAGTTTTGCCATTAAGAATCAGAAATGATGGACCACATATTGTGAATCATTACATAGAAATAACGCCACCATAAATTAGAATTAACCGATTCATGTACTGGATCTCGAAAATTTCTAAGACCATGAACCCACAGAAAGATGAATTCTATCATTGCCATAAATAACTGATTTAAATCTCCACCACCCCTGGGACGCAATGCCTTCAGTAGTTATTGTGTAGCTCACGCATTGAGAAGGAAAAATCTGACTACCCTTGTATGCATGCATTTTTTGCCAAACGGCAGACGCTTGAAGGATGCTAAATATTGTGAATCTTCTAAACGACGACAAATAAGCAGGTGAATAACACAAATTTGATACATAGCAAGTATATATCACGTGAAAGAATTGTCACCAGAAGCATGCATGTTACTTTACAAATTCCATATATCCAAACCTAACATCCATGATTTTACATATCACATACCTGCTATTACCAAACTTGATGGTGTCCTTTTCAAACAGTTGATAGTACCGCTGAGGTTCTATTTTATTATCCTGCATAAGAGAATATTAACAAGCCAAACAGTGACCAAAAACTTATGTTCAACTCCATTATGACGGCCATATATTGAAACAAGTCTAGAAAACCAAACATTCACTAAAATGTTTCTACAAACTGCTCACATTAATGGAGGTCCCATTTGTGCTCCCAAGATCCATCAGATAAGGCCTGATTACACAGCAAACAATGTATCCGAACTTATCAATAACTCAGAAATAAACGAGTAAACCATCGTCACATCATAAGTTATAAAAACATGGATGGTAAGTCACACCTCACTTGTTTTGACATGGACCCATCTTGGAGCTCTTCCTCAACTTGCCTGCAAAAATTAAACAACCCTCATAATATCCAAGCAAACTAGGCACGTTACATAAGTGAACAAGAAAGATGATTAATACACATTCAAATTATTGTCAATACCGGTACTGAAGAACAGCATGTTGTTTGCTGCAAGAAGGGTGATCTGTGGGGATGTCTGCAACCCTCCTCTCTCTACCAAAAAGATAGCAACTTTGACGATGTACATACAGAGGTTCTGCAGGTTAAAAGTTTTTTATTATGGTCAACTGCTTCCATTCGTAGTTTACCAAACTCAGCAAAAATGAACAGTTGAGAACTTGACATGAATTCTGCATTATTTCAATGGGGATAGAAGGGAAAGATGGTTAGCAAGTTTTCAAATAATATCAACATTACAAGTAAACAACTAAAAAGATCATTAAGCCCAATTGAAATTTAAGCAGTGTTTTATGAGGATGAAAGTAGAGGTAAGGTGATGGCTGGCAACTTAGCTTGAATGTGAAGCTCAATCATAGAGACTAGTTTAGCAACATCATCATACATGTATATCCAACAAAGGCATACCATTAAGCACTTCACCACCCTTGAAAACATACAATCGCCACCTGATATCTGGCTTCCGAGCATCATGTGGCTCATTAAATAGCAGTGTTACACCTGATGAAGTGTTGAAGTTATACATCAGGAACAAAATTCTAGAACTCAATAAATAAACAGATAGAAAAGTGGAAGCATATGAGATCACAAGTTGTACAAGAGATTTCCGAAAATACTTCCAATGCCGAAACAGAGTCCATTTAACTTCTTACACTTACACACATGCCAACATTTCAGAGTTTTACCTCATAGCTATGGGCCTAGAAACTACAGGATGCTATATACTTAAGATCATATGAAATCCAAATATTACTCTCACCAGATCACTCAGGAGAGAACACACAGTGAAAGCAGAAGGTGGTGGGCGCATTTGGCTCCACCATAAATTAAGAAATTTGGGTAGTTAGCAAATAACAATAGAACAAAAATAGTGAAGGCGAGCACCAAGAGTTAGACATAAAATAATCTTTCAAACAAAGACTAATAATCAAAGTTTAGAAAACATCGACACTCAAGCAATCAATATAAAAAGGTGAAACAAAATTTGCAAATTGAATAGACCGCACAAATTTTAATTTCACTACTAGCAAAAGATACTAATTTGTTAAATCTTGGATAAATGTCCACATAACTAACGTAATACCATGTAACAGCTGAAGCAACAGAAAAAACTTACATGAAAACAAAAATAATAAAAGATCCATAAAAACAATGAAAAAAAAAAAAACTTCATCTTGATAAGAAAAGGAAATCCCATAATACCTCTGACTCGATTGGTTTCAGCCGCAAGTTTTCCAGAAAGCTCAAAAGAAGGCTTTTGCTGCACTTAATAATGAAAAATAATGAGTGAAGACATTAGAAACCAGTGTGCAATTAACAAAGTAATGAAATTGTCTACAAGATAATGGACATTGTCTGTAACAGCTATAAGAGGATCGGAATATGAAGGAGAATAGGATATATGGAAGATTGACATAATGAACAGTAACTTAATAACAAAAATAGAAATAAAAAATGTACTTTTTCCTTTGCATCCAATGTCTCCTCAACAGCCTTCATCTTAGCTATTGAATCACTATCACCGTTCCTGCTCAAGCAGCGAATGTGAAGATGTAAAATACAGTAAGAGAATTAGAGAAAGAAGACAATAATAATGAAAGTGTGTATAACCCACTATAATACCATGTTGATTAATAAAAACAATAAGCCAGTAAAAAGATAATTATAAGGCTATATTTGATCAGTAAGTCAGGTCAAAACCAAATTTTGGTGATTGGAAGATATTGACAGAAGTAGCTCACCGCTGCTCAGGATCCCTTGAGCTTCTCCGCTGCATAAATTTAGAGAAACAATCAGTTAATGTCCTCATAGAATCTAAAGCTCTTTCCAATAGGAGTTCAACGCCATAAAGCAGAGAACCATGCCTCATCACATGCAAAAGAAAGAGTTTCAGAGATGAACTAGACGATTAAATATTAATGGAGTTATTCCACCTCATAAGTTTGTAACACTAATGCTTAAATTTAATACGTAAAATCAATGTATGAGCAGAGGAAAACTCCATTTTCACAACAAAGTTTGTAGTAATCAATTACGTGCGTAGTAACTACTAAATAGGCTAAAACGATTCGCACAGCAAAAGAATCATAGAAAGAATATTAAATATGACCAGATTCCATGCGGGCAATGGTCAAGTTATGCTCAGCTTCATGCTGCTCGAATCCTCAAATTCAAACAAATTACCAATACAAATATATTATATTAAATTAAAAAAAAAAAAGATAGGAAACGCTTATAGGGAGTGGATATCACCAGACACCTCATTGCGTCCTCGGCTAACAGGCGATCTTGACCTTCTTTCACCCCTGTTATGATGACCAGAAGGCGAACGCGAACGCCTGTGCCTCGACCTCAAACTATTCGAGCCACTGCCAACCTCATCCCGTTCAGACCTTCTTTCTTTTCTTTCAACAGCCAGATCCCTGGTAAAATCTTTTTCCTCATTCCTCTCGCCCTTCCTCATGTGGTTTCTTTCATTTTCTATCCCATTCCCTTTCCCGGCATCTCGTTCGGCCTTAACTCTCTTCAACCTTCTACTACGTGGCGAAAGAGACTGAGAATCCGGAGATTTCGACCTAGCTCTTCTTGGAGATTTGACTCGAACTGAAGATTTTATTTTTCCAGGTGACGGGGATCTCGACTGCGCATGTTTTGGGGATCTAGTTCGAGAAGACAATTTCTCTTTGGCAGCTGAAGCAGGTGGTGAGGGCCTTGACCTTGGTGACCTGGTTCTATTAGAAGATCTTTGTCTAACTGGCGAACGGGAGATAGGTGGAGATCTTTGATGTTCTGGGGATTTTTCACGATTATCCCGGATAAGCAAACGTGGTTCAGGGGACCTCGACCTAGCATGTTTTGGTGACCTATTGCGGCTCCGGTATCGAGTAGGGGACCTTTCCTTCCTGGAGGGGCTCCTTCTACGAGGAGGGTTCTGCTGGACCTTCACAGGTGATTCCGAATCGTGGCGACCCATTGAGGATAAAAAAGACTTATCTGATCTAAAGATAAACAATCAATGTAAGAAACATATTATACGTCTTTGAGAAGAAAGAAAAAACACGCATGGATTTTATATAAATAATTAGAGACTTCCGGTAGCAGAAATCACTTGAAAAGACTGTACATTCTAGTCCCCAAGTTAAATAGGCTTAAATAATGTCACGGTTTGGGAATTAAAACTTGAACAAGATGCACAAATCATGGTTCCCTTAGATAATATGTAAAATAATTTAACTGTTCCAGGTCCTTTAACATTAAAAGCTTTAAACAATAACCTGAGCTAGAACCTACAACTTTACAAGTAAATACATCCACAGAACAACAGACTATTATACTGCTTGCTCTATTATCGAGAAAATTTCAAAAATAAAACTTCAGATAAAGTAACGGGGAAAATAATAGAGAAACAAAAACACAAATCAACAACGAATTGCAAAATCGTAGCTGAACCCAGACCACGAACATGACTAGGGATGGCAATGGGCCAGGTCGGGCCGAGTACCTGGCCGCGTTTTTACCTTGTGGACCCGACCTGCCCCAAGGCCCGCGACGGGTCCAACAGGTCGGGCCCATTCCCTGACCTGTTTCGGGAAGAATAAGACCTGTGCCCCAACCCGTGCCTGACCCGCCCCGCCCCGCCCCTATCTTTGCGGTATAGAATATAAAAATGCTAGAAGATACTAGTAAAGGGATAATTATGTATGTGTGCCCTCTGCCTCGAGGTTTCAGTAATCTGTGTCAAAATAAATGAAGATTTGTGTTCAAAAATTACAGAATTTATTTGTGTAACTAATTTCATAATACCTCTTCCACCCTCACTTAACAACTCAAGAAATGGAGTATCAATCAAACACATCCAAATTAAAACAGTAGAATATCAATAAGACATAATAAATAAATAGGATCTCGCCATTCAAAAGATGAATTATCCGAGGCCATGAATATTGTTTTCCCTCCATCTGCACACCTCCAATTCCAAAGTAAAAACGACAAGGAAATCCTATCGAACAAATAATATATACCCGTCCCTCAGGAATAAAAAAAAAAAAAAAAAAAAAAAAAAAAAAAAGAAGAAGAAGAAGAAGAAGATTCGATCTAATTACTATGAAATGGTGGGAAATGAAGATAATCCCACTACCACAGTTGATATCTTTAGCCATCTGTCCGATTAAAAAAACAGTTGGGAAATTACCATTAAATCTGAAAGTGCACAGAGACGCCGAGAGTGCAGCGTGTTGTGGACTGAGGAGATGCGACGGGGTCACAGAAGAAAAGAGGCGACGGGCCGTCGGCGTGAGAAGAGAAGCGACGGCCGGCGGGCGTGAGAGAGAGAGAAAGACTGAGAGTGAGAGACGGAGTGAGGTGAGGAACGGCTGTGGGAGCAATAGGTGGAGGAACGGCTCTGCCAAATACAAAAATTGTAACCTAAACCCTATTCCCCAATCTTAGAGCAACTCCAAGAGTTCCCTAAAAAGTTCTTCCCCAAAACAATGTATTGGGGCTCTCCCTAAAAAAAACTTTCCTAAAAACTTATCATCCCACAGCAGATTGCTAATAACTAGTCCCTAATATTTTAAAACAGGCCACATCATTGTAATTGGGCCCATCCACGCACAGAAACTCGACGCAGAAAAGCTCCCCACAGCCGCCGCTGGAAAGAGGTCGACGTCTTCGCTGGAGTTGTCGTGAGATAGGTAAAACGAATTCGGTACGAGTCGACGAAGCCTTTCCATGCAGCTGGTGATGAGTTCGTCGTCAGATGATGACGCTGATGAATTCCTCCTCTCCATTACTCATGTGGCCATGAATGCCGATGAGTCTGACGATGAAACAAAACATCGTGGTTCTATCCTAGGGCATCGAGTACTTGAGCGAGACAGACACGCAGGACATCATAGG